ACCCATTATGTCTTTTGTTCGATTAGTTGCAGACCAACCGGTTTGGATGTCTGCTCAGCAAAATACCTATTTCTCCGAAAATAATTTGACTTTTGGAAAATCCTCTCGTAGACATATTCTTAAATAGTTAAACTATGGAAAAAAGAAAATCGATTTTTTTATTCCTAGACCAGAATACCCCTTTAAACAAACGATTGACTAGTTGTCTTTCTATCCGTAAAAGGCAGCCCTTTCTAAATATGAAGTTATGTAGATGCCTTAAAATTCAAGTTAATAAAATATGGGCATATATTGCTCATATATATATTGTGGTCAATTTATATTTATAACAAATAGGTAAGGGGATTTCCTTAATTTGCCAGTTAGATTTCTAACCTCAAGAGTTTCAAATTGAGGAAAAAATAGTTTTCCCACTTTTCCTTTATGTGTGATAAGCTCGTTTATTTCAATAATACACTCATCGGCATATCTTGTAAATGAATTATATTTAACCAAGAGATATGACTAAAGGCATGTGACTTCCTCTAATTAAACACTTTATCCTTATTTTAAAAATTTCGAATTGACATGAACCGCATCTGAACAAATAAATTAATCAATAGTTACTCGTGGTTCAAGTGATGTTTGGAATTTTATTGTATTTTAAGGCAAGTTATGTTGCTGACTGGTGAGATGGCACTAACTTCAGTGGATTATCTCAATCGAACATTTCCCCTCATCTATCCCCTTACCGTTCAACCACAAACTCCATCTTCAGATGCTCAATCAATCATTCTCATCACCATCATTGGCTGTGCTGTTGGAATAGGGATTGGCTTGATTAGAAAACTCATTGGTGGATCTCGGCAATGCAGAACTATCATCTTCGCTGAAGTTCACGATATACTGAATGAGGGTTGGTGTTCTAACACCTTCAGTTTAATCAATATGTCTTCAAATATTAATATAATTAAATTTTAATTCCATTAGATTACGAAATAGTGGAGGTCATTAATGTGTCTGTATCAACTGGAATGCAGGCCATACTTAGCGAACAGGAAAATATGCATTATTTCAGTGTGAGAGCGTCTGTTCTTCAAAACTTCGCTATGACTTCAGGATCTGAAGATGGTAAGCACTGCTACTCTTTTAGTTTAATAGAGGCCACAATATATATATATATATATATATATTCGACAAGACCTATCACAATAATTTCTATTTCATCTTTTTTGCGCATTAACTGAGTGCAGATGTTTAATTTCAAATAGAAGTTATAGAAGAATTGCCTCGTATGCCAAAGGCCATAAAACCTGAAAAGTGTGGAAGCGTCGTCAGATGGGAGAACTACAATATTGGTACGGTTTTATAAATTTTAGCTTTTCACATTAAAAACAAACATTGTATACGCACACACATATATGCCTTTTCTAGTCCATAAGGGATTCACGCACAAAAGACTTGCTAAGAAGGAAAGAGTTCCGACGTGGACCAGCACAATCCGAACTCCAGCGCCAGCAATACTTTGCGGATCGTGTCCAATTATCAACAAATGGGCTTCCAAAAAGATTACAACTTATAAACTTTTGAAATGAGGATTGTAACCCCCCCCCCCTCTTCACCACCCATTCGTATTAAACCTCTTTTTCGAGATTTCTGATTGGTTCGCCGAAAAGGGAATTTCACCTTAAGTAAAAACTAAATCAATCAACCAGAAAATTATTTTTATCATAGTGCATAACATCTTTAGCTACATGAGAATCTAAGTGATGTTAGAAACCATGAAATATACCAGAAATCTTCTTTGCTTAATAAGCTGACTAGCTGAAGAATCTGGTTAAAAAAGAACCCAACAGATGCGACAACGGTAACTCTACTCCTGTCATCTCCACAGTTTTAGTTTGAGTACTATCACCATTTCTTGTCCTATGATGCCTCAAGAATAAATAGATATGTGACCAACGCCACAACTAGATTATCTGGCCACAAGACATGAGCATCTCTAAAGAACACAGTATGGGAGTCGACCACTGAAGAATTCGACATTTCAAGAAAATTCCTACATCAACCACCAGGGATAATATTGTCCAACATAAGGCAGAAAAATATCAAAGATTTCCTTCGATAAGAAAATTATGAAGATGTACATACAAATAGATGGAATGCGTAGTTATTGACATTCAGATTTACAATAGAGGAAAGAAGGGAGTAAGAGCAATGCAATTTAATTATCCCAGCTCGACTTCTTCCTCCTCATCAAAATCTTCCACCGCATCCGAAAATGTTGCCTCTTCGTCTTCCTCCAAGATAATTTCACTTCCGTCATCTTCAACACCTTCTAAAGTTTCTGACTGGTGGAAGTAGCTGAGGGACACATCATAGGCATAGGGAGTGGATGATCCAACTTCACCTTTAATTGGTAGGGGTAAAGGCGATGCCTTGGCATTCAAATACCTCACAAATTTAGCTGTATCCTTCGCCTCACAATAAACTAGGGTTAGGGCATTGTCCTCTGGACGTACACGCAGAAGCTAAAATAAAAAACATTAACCTTAAGGAGATTTGATTTAGTAGAACAAACAAGGGTAGAACGTACCTCTTCGTTGTCCGATCTGGAAACGTATACGATCTCCCCATTCCAATCATCCTGCCAACACTGACCACCATTTCCACAAATACTACCCTCTTTAGCAGACTTGGAAATCGATCCCATGGTTCCATCCTTTTTACCGGAATACTTGTGCCCATATCCCCCAATGTGATAATAGAAATCGAGACGCCAAATAGAAATATTTCCATTTTCGACATCATCTTTTGAGGTGGAGGAAGTTGAAACAACACCAGAGTCAGCATCAGCAAGAAGAGTGTACATGCCTGATCGCCAACGGTGGAATCTAGGGCTTGTAATTACAGTTTTGATGGATTGATCAACCTCCTCCTTCTCCATGCGGGGTCGTTTAGCCTCACTACTCGAAGGTTCCTCCTCTTTCTCCTCAACAGAGGCAAAAAGGGGATGCAAAGAAACCCCGGTGAGTTGAGAGAGAATTACCAGCATAGCTTCAGAATGCAAGAGGCGACGAACTTCTCTACAAGGCTCAGGCAATTCCTTTTCGGTGGTGTAAGGCAACACACTTACATTTCTAAAAGAGAAAATGAGTTTATTTCTAAATCAGTAACAATTATCAAAAAAGATATCAAAACCGATTTAGTGTTTTAGTTAAGCTGGAAAACACCAAAACCATGGTCATACATCTAAATTTACCTAAAGAAAAACTTATACAGTAAAGCGCAAGTAGTTTAAAACTAGGTTAGTCTATTTATAATTGATTTGAACACAAAAAGCACCAGTTAAGTAAATCCGATTTCGCAGTTGCAAACATTTGCACAAATAATTGGATCTTTCGATTAAGTGAAAGAAGCATAGGGAACAGTCCATTAAAGTTGTCGCTAGATTTAAGATCTGAAATAAACACTAAATAAGGTATAATGCAGTGTGACGTGCTGAGAACGAGGAGTTAAAAATGAATATTCGACGTATTTGGGAAACTTGCCAAAAAATGTAGATATCGTGATGTAGTACACCGCTTTACTACAAAGGACTAACACTCTGCAGCTAATTACACACTCAAATCAATATTCTAAATAGAAAATATACGGCCTTCTTTTGAAATCGTAGGCCCCATCTGCATTTAGCACACTTTAAGATCGTGGAAACTGCGGAAAGTTGACCACGGGTGGTTAGCGTGCTATATTTCAGAACCATTAAAAAATAACTGCTTCTCAAAAAAAGGAATAGATGAACATCAAAAAAGGAGAGGAGAGTAACACTTAAGTATTGATTTTTGAGATAGTTAATATTACCTAAGATCCATCGGTCCTTCAAAAAGCCAAACATCATCCTTTATGCCTTGAATGGACTGACAAAGAAGCTCGTAATTGGCCTTCTACAAACATAATAGTAAAATGGCACATTTTTACCCATCAAGAAAAACCATTAATGAAAACGTACGCGGAAGAAGTGGGGAAGTTGAATTTCTGAGGTTTCAACAAAGCGAACTTGAATGGCCTCTTGTTGATCCGAATCGATATACATGGGATTGATCCAGTCGAAAATCAACTTTTCCTAAATAGAAGATTAACTTTTATGTAGCAAAAATGTAAAAAATCATGAGATAGAAATCCTAATAAGCTTCGCGACGAATTTCACAACCTGAAAAAGACCAAGAGGTCGACTGAGTCATCGAAGATCGATCGATGGCTTCACGTGTATATCGAGATTGTCTACTTTGTAAATTAAGCATAAATAAGTCTGAAGGAATCAGTGAAATTTCACTTTTATAAATCGAACAAGCTTATAGTTGTGTGAAGATATCAAGAATCTTTTAAACAAATTTATAAAGCCGATGCTGCCTGATGGGACTCGAATTTCTTAAAGTAACTGATGAAAGTGCTATCAAGGCCATTTTAAACAAGTAGTAACTGCAATTACTTCAACGAAACAGGCAGGAAGGCGGGGAATTTTAATCGGGTCGGAGGAACGAGGGACACGAGGAAGAGGATCACTCATGAACCATCCATGAAGTGAGAGACGAGACCTGTCACCGATCACTTCGGCCACCTAAGAGCGGTAAAAAGAAATCAAAGCCCAATCTGCAAATAAGAATGTTGCATAAATGGATGATTCCATAGGGGAGCACTTAAAGCGACAAAAAGTATGTAATCTTTTTCTGATGGTAAAATTATAGTTCTCAATTGCAAATTGTGGAATTGTCATAGAGATTTTCTGAGAACTATATTACCTTAACATTAAAGACAACTACCACATGAAAACAACTCTTGAGAGGTTGAAAAATTAAATGTGACTTGAAAATGTAGCTTACCAGAAGCCCCGAGGAGTCTGAATAAAGCAGTTCAATTTAGCTTTCGTCTTGACCATTGATATTAAGATATCAACAGTTGATTACGAAGCATGATAAATCACGTATTATAGTAATTACAAAACGACCACCAAACTTATGACTGTCTTCCATAAACAGTCACTAACTGATGAAACAATGACCAACAACGATCTAAAATAAGAAATTAGCGCTCGCCTAAACTATTTAATCTTAACGCTATCGACACATGAAAAAAACTAGCACACTGGGTTTTAGGTACGAATTATTTTGAAATAAACCAAATAAGACAAAAGTATAGGATAACTTTTACAACTAGAATTATTATGACGCAAAATATGCCCAATTTTACTAAAAAAGCTCACTAACCAGTACAGAAAACAATACGAACGCTGCGCTACTTACCTGATGGAAGGATTTTGAGCAGACTTCGAAAAAGGCCAAACAATTTCGGGAAGGTGAAAGGGACTTGACAATTTTCCAAGGGTGATAATCTCCTGAATCTGGAGGAACTACATTACAATCGGGGGTGGGTCCACATTCATATAAATCGAGAGAACCCCCATCCTTTTCAATATCCCAATCTTTGGGAACCAAATAGATGATAAATGCGATTCGTCTGCGTTCAAGTTCATCATCGTGGCAGAGGAGATAATCTGAATAGACAGGTCAACCTATCGAAACATTACCAACCGTTTTTATCATATCGAGAAATTGTGGAATTTACAATTCCTTCATCAAGATCTGTGCCAGTGACGTTCCTCATCCAATTCAACATGTCAGTAGCAAAGAACTCTCTTATTTGAGTCAACAGTGGAAACTTATTAGCAAGCTTCACATCCTTACAGGATAGCAAATCGTTACTTTGATTAAGAGAAAACAGATCATTTAGCTGACGATTAAGAGTAAAGTTGAGAGCTTCAGCTTCCAAATCATCGAGATATTTGGTGTCAAGGAAATCAGGAAGAACGGCACAAGTAAAAGGCGTATGAAAAATCTTAACGTCATCTTTATCCAAAGTCTGCCCATCTTTAGATCGGAAAGCACAGTGAAATAGCTTCTGAAAACCATCAGAAGCGTATTTCGGGTTAACAGAGAAAGGACAAGCCATAACCCAAAAGGCGTGGTCTGCACGACGTAAGTGGCGGAAAAGTTGTTTAACTTTGGTACTCATTTGGAAAAAGAGAGCAAAATGAAATGCTAAAATTGAAGAATAAGTATAATCAAAATATATTTACAATAAATTGATACTAATATATAAAATAAAATTTTGAATAACATTAAATATTTGATTTATAAATTATTTTTTATCAAATATTTAAATTTTATGATAATATATAATTGTTCAAAATTTTTTTATAATCTAGAGTACTTTATATCATCTACCATAGGGCGACTCAATCAAACATTTTACAGGCTTGGTAGGTATGTTCTCATGCTAATTTAACTTTACATTAATATAACAAGGTGACTTAGAACGTCCCACATGACTTATCCATTTTTTGTATTGTGATTTGTTCATATCCTTGAATACTTATCGCGCTTAATGATCTAATATTACAACTTATTATTCCTATTTGCATCCGGCTATTGTTTTTATTCATAATAAAAAATATGCCGGTTCATGCCCCTTCCTGGTCCTATTATTATTACTATTATTTTATGCCTTTCCACTTGCAACCTTCACTTAGACGTACAGAATAATGTTGTCGCCAAAAATTACGAAACTATGCTGGGGCTCAATCGCGGTAGAAAAAATTGGTGACGACGGTAGGCCTATTGAAGGTGAAGAAATTTCATATCGAGATGCCAAAGTCTGGCCCGGTGGTAGCAGTGGTTGGGATTGGAACAAAACTGGTGAGTTTAAACTCTGTTTTTACCGCATTATTCTTTTAACTTACTACTCTTTCAACCGTGGAATAACTTTAATTAGTGCACTGTTTGTCTATGTGCTTTCTTGTTTTCTTTTTGTTTTATTGTTACATCAGTGATATTTTTTCCTGACCTTTTTTACTCTTAATCAAGCAACATTTTATATGCAAGGCGAGTTTTGATGGAAGGCTTTTAAGTTCATGGGATTCATGAAAGGTGCGAACAATTAAAATATCAGAGCTCACAGAGGCCATAGTGTGTAATTCCCTTACCTTGGTGGCTACAATCCTCTCCCTTATCAATGGATATGAAAACGCATTTCTAATTTAGTCAATGTCTAATGTCCTTTCGCATTCTTTCTTTGCTCTCACTGTTTACCTGTAGGAATCTAAACTCGTATTTTACTAGTGTGTCTGCTAGCTTAAAATTGTGCCTGTTAGCTTTTTAGGAAATTGAATTTTAGTATGAGAATTTAAAATTTTTTCAATTCCCCCTGTTTTTTTTCAGGTTACACACGAGCCAGTGCTTTCTCGTTTAGGGCATGAAGAATGTATAATCTAAAGTCTGGAGTATGTAATTCTATTACGGGGTTAAGTATCCAACCTACATATCCATCCTGCTATTGGGGAAGCGCTCGTGAATTACTATTTCTTGATCTTTATGGAGCGTTCTGCTACCATGATGACCTACAACCAACTAGTCTGAAGATCACTCTGTCGCTGCTCTTTTTCATGGTACTTCTAGATTAATTCCACCATAAGTTCAGGTACTCTATCACTTTATTTCGTGTATTCATGACAATGAGTCCCTTGGTTTTATTTCGGTTTGGTCTTATATAATAAAGTGACTAATTAAATATAAATTCCGTATCTTAAAATATGAATATTTGTTAACTTTCCTTATTTTATGTACTTTTCAGGGGTTTTATTTACGCATTTCTGTCTGTTTAATTACTTGACTAGGTTTGTGTTAGAAGTTGCATTGGTTTTCTTTTGGCTAAACCTTAGCTATTCTAATCGATCACGGTGCCTGAATTTCTTATTATTGGAAATGCTCTTGAGTCGTGGAATTTCTAATCTGATACTTCTTAGTCTACCGAGTGTATAGTCGTATTGATGCCAGTGGACATCGGTATATTTATTTTATTCCAATCGGGATGGGCGATATACTTACCTTCACGTGGTGCACCCTGGGCAACGTATATTCA